CATCGATGGTCTAGGGTTTAGTTTGGGGACTAGGGTTTCGGGTTGGGATGTTCCCCCGTATACTAACAGTCCTTAATGGGGATTGGAATACCCCCTGTTAGAATCCCTATTAAGGACTGTCAGGCTGTTAAAGGGGAACATCCCAAGTTTCGGGTTTAGACCGCACGCTTGATGGTAAGACAGGTCAACGGCTGAGGTTCACGTGCCACCGAGGGCAAGTTCAGTCTTAACCCTAATTGAACCCTAAACCCTAAACCCTAAACCCTATAAACCCTAAACCCTAAACCCCAAACCCCAAACCCTAAACCCTTAAACCCTAAACCCTAAACCCTAAACCCTGCGCCAGGAAGCCGAAACCCCTCAAGGCTTGCCAAGAGTCACCACCAGCTCGACCTGCCACACTTCAGATCGCTGCCCGAAGGGTTAGGAGTTTAGGGTTTAGGGTTTGGGGTCTAGGGTTTAGGGTTTAGGGTTTAGGGCCAGGTTTAAAGTCAAGAAGGCGTAGGGTTTTGGGTTGTGTGTTGCTCTCCTAGTTCCTTTAAAACACCTGATAGGATTTCAGATAAGATCAAATTCAATACTCGCCTGCGCACCCTCAATCCTAAACCGACACCCGTAGCAAACATTTAGCTGGTTCATCATCAGAGTACAGGGGCGGGGGCCTGGCAGGCTGTAAGGCTTTAAACTCATGGGCTCAAGATATACTTGCGGGTTCGAGGCTTACGGGCTCGAGAACCGGAAGCGTCACCCCTTCAACTCTCTACGACAAAGACAAGAGGTCAACAGGCTCAGTTGGCGCTTGTGCAAGTACCCGCGTGCAAACTGCAGCCCCTAAACCCTAAACCCTAAACCCTAGACCATAAACCCTAAACAAGATGAAAGGAAGTACGACGACTCGACTCTTCTCATCTCAAAGCCCCGAGCAAGCCACGGCTGGGGGCCTCTTCTTACTTCTCCAGTAACAAATTAGTTCGGTTTGGGGTTTAGGGTTTAGTTATAGGGGCAAAAAGTCTAGGGTCACCTTTGATTTTCCTATGAAAGTACGTAAACCGAAAACATTAAAGCGCGTCTTCGACTATGAAACATGCTACAAATTAGAGGTTCAGAAGCCAGGCGGAAAACCGGGCGGGAGAGTTCGAGGTGGATGAGGAGGGATGCGATCATTGTACAGGATGCGCACTCTGGGGATAATTAGTCCTTCAGGGGAACTTCTGACTCGGGGTCTAGACAAGTGGACTGGCCTGGCGTGATTCCAAGGGAGTGTACAGTACAACATTTCGTGAAGCCTTGGAACGCTCTTTGGCGACTAGCTTCAAGGGTACCTGCGCGTGGACCACGTCATGAAACTTGACGAAAAAGATGCAACGACCCTAGAAACTTCACTTGTTGACAATAAACTCCCCCCTAGTGGCTACCCAAAGCTCCAATGGAGTTCCTTTGTTAGTTATTGGACCCGTCGGAACCAAAGCCCAAAACGGGGGTTTGTGAAAATGAGGCACCCATAAAATAGTCCCCAAACAGTAGGGTTCCCTGATGAGAAGAACCCCAATAAGGTACCCCTTACCGCCCAAATTGCAGAAACCCCCCCCCCCCCCAGAAGCCTAAACTTGGGATGTTCCCCTACTAGCAGATGATCCCGATTAAGGGCTGCTAGTAACATCCCCAAACCCTAAACCACAATCCCTAAACCCGAAACCCTAATCCCTAAACCACAAAAGCATGTGAATTGTTGTTGGGGTCTCCGCGCCTCGCCACCGCCAGAAAGAGCCTCGAAGCCAGGGGCCTTGGCTAGATTTAGGGTGTGGGGTTTAGGGTTTGGGGTTTGGGGTTTAGGGTTTAGGGTTTAGGGTTTAGGGCTTATGGTTTAGGGTTTGGGGGTTTAGGGTTTGGGGTTTGCGGTTGGCGGTTTGGGGTTTGGGGTTTAAGGTTTAGGGTGTTTAGGGTTTAGGGTCTAGGGTCTGTCTTGGAGCCAAGGGTTACTCTGTTGCGGAGAGTGGTACCCGAAAGAGAGCTTCTCTCTCGCGATCAGAAGTCTGCGGCCACCATCTCCATGCTTCCGATCGGTGCAGGATGATGAGCAGGTAATGCGCCGTCAGCGCGTTCAACATGGCATCCGACTGCGAAAAACTCAACACTTGCGGTGGTTGCGCTGGACACGAGGGCTAACACCATCGACTGCGCATGTGCTCAGATATGGCGGGGGAAAGCCGCTGGATGGCCTGCTTGTCAGACTGCGCGTCTGAGGCCAAGTAGGCCGCGTGGGGCAACCCTATACCCTAGACCCTAGACCCTAAACCCTGCATCCAGACCTGGGCTCAGGTCTACCCACAGGTCCCCCCCCCCAGTGCAGCTTGCGGCAGCCATTGACTGCCAAGTACTTGAATGGCGAGAAAGGGAGCTCATCAAAGGAGTGGACTGTGCAAGATGCAAAAGCTCAGTAGGGCTTGGGGCTATATCTTGCATTTTATACCAATCGCAGAGCTTAGGCTCTGGACAGGGGAGTTTGAACAAGCGGCAAGCATCCGACCATAGGGTTTAGGGTTTAGGGTTTAGGGTTTAGGGCCCCCTATACAATCCCGTCGTGGAACTTGCTATACCTCCTACCCAAAGGCTCCAATGTAGTTCCTTTTTGGGCTAGTTACAGGGGATTTTCGTATGCTACCCCAAAAAGGCTCTACTTAGGAGCCTTTGGGTAAGCACCTAAGTAAATCATATGGCTCTAGAGAGGACATTGGCGGACTGGAGGTGGGCAACGCTGAACTTAAGCCCGAACACCTCGGGAAGTTTTTTTTTTTTTTTTTTTTGGGGGGGGGGGGGGGGGGCTGCGCCTTACTGAATTGAGTGCAACATCAGGGAGATCTATCCCAAGCCCTAAATATAGACCCTAAACCCTACACCCTAAACCCTAAACCCTAAATCTACATCCTTTCCACCCTAAGCCCGACCCCCTCAACCTGAAGCCCGTCTCCCTGAACCCTGCTGAATGTTAAGAATGAACCCTAAACCCTAGACCCTAACCTCCACAGGCCTTAGGGACTTGAACTGAGAGATTAAGTTGAGGTTTTTAGGGGGTTCAGGGCGTATGCGTATAGGTTTCAGGGTTCAGGGTTTCAGGGCTTTGGGTCGTTTCAAATTTTGGGAACATGCCCACGCACAAGGCCACGGCGGAAACGCTCACAATGCGCCCAGGAGCTACGTTCGTCACCTAGGTCGATGGGCAGGAGATGAGATGAGGGGCGAAGAGACATGAGGAGGGCTGAAGGGTTTCCGGTTTAGGGTTTTTTGGGGTTTAGGGTTTTGGGGTTAGGGTTTCGGGTTCAGGGCTTCGGGTTGGGATGTCCTCCCTATAAACTAGGAGTCCTTCATAGGGATGATGGTACTCCCTAGGACAATCATTCTTGAGGACTGTTGGTATAAGGAGAAACATCCCAAGTTTTGGGGCTAGACCCTCCGCAGCTCATCTGGGTTTAGAATTAGGGTTTAGGGTTTAGGGTTTAGCCAACTATAGGTCCTAAGCGCCCACGCCCGAATTTTTCTGAACCCCAAACGCCCGAAGCCTAAATGTCAGAACTAAAAGAATGACATCCT